AAACTGTCTCATTGCTATCTGTTTAGCAATAAAACTTTGAAAAAAAAAATAAGATGCTTTCCCAAATATAATTTTTTAAAATAAAGGCTAGTGCAAAGGCCCTGGGTTTAATGCCTACTGCCAGGAAAAAGAAGTCCTTATATTTCCCTGTTTCTTAGAAAAAGGCAATCATACATTTTCATGTATTTTATCCTATGTCTTTAACATCTACCCAGACAAGCTACAGTTTTAGCTAGTTTGCTTTCTTCATTAGTAATATTTATATCATTTCTCAGCCAGACTTAACCAGCTGCATGTGTCTTTTGGTACAGTTTATTTTTTCCTTATTTGGTAATCTTTTTCTCTGTAAATTTTGTTCTATGATTTCAAATAAAATAACAGATAAAACCTTAACAGACAAAAGTTATTGTTCATATAACACAGAAAGACTCTGTTTAAATTAACAAAGTTAGTCAGAAACCAAACCAAACAAACAGAAAAACCCAAATCTTAAATTTTCATAGTATGAAATATTACAATATACTTAGTGAAGAGGTGGATACTTAATAATAATTTGTGCTAGTGATATTAAAATAGTATTTTTAAAATCTTGGTTATCTCAGCATTCTCAGTGGAGAACAACAGGTACGTAAATCAAGAACAGTAAAAAAATTAGTTGATATGTTTATATTTACTGGCCATTGACTAAATGAGTCCTAAAAGTGAACCCATTCTGTGTCTGAAAGGGAAGGGAACTAAAAAACTTTTCATTAGATAAATACAATGATCCAAGTGATGAAAATTCTACCCAAATCAATAAGCTTTCTCACTCTTTCTCAAACTTTTCACTGAAATACATTTGGTGAAATCAACAGTTTTCAGCATTTTTTTTAATCTAAAAGAACTTAAGTTTCATGTAATTGAATCTAAGAGACAAAACTTTCTGCCCAATTAATTTCAAGATCCGGAAAAACAAGCAATAATACTGTTAGAAAGCAGCCTAGAACAATAGAGAGCTGGTTTATTATCCCTTTCTTGGTTTTTTTGTTTGTTTGTTTTATTTTTTTGGTTTTTGTTTTTGTATTTTTAGGGAAGGGTCTATAGGGTGTTCATGGTCTCACTACTAGATTGGACTCACAGTGATCTGCCTGTTTACAGCCTCCCCAAGACCTGGGATTATAGGCACGCACCACCACGCCCAGTCTCAATTGTCTTCTCAGCGCGCCCCGGGGACGGGATGGCACTGGCAGGCCCGAGGATTGAACCCCTGGGCCCTGAGCCTGTTTGCAGGCTCTTTAATCCGCTGAGCTGTTTGGCCAGCACTTATCATCCCTTTCTGCTTGAAGAATTGCTCAGTGGTCCGTACATAACATAGCAGGTGAGCTGAGCAAGTGTGTGAAGTGGTGAAGAGACATTCAGAACAGTATTTTCTGTCTTCCTTTATCAGGGACAGTACAGCAAAGCTTCTGAGTACTTTCAGCAAGCTTTTAACACATCAGTAGAGCTAATGAACATGCCTCTGATGGAAGAAACACAAGTTCATTATGGAATAGCCAAAGCCCATCAGGTGCTGCTGGCCATGAGCAGTTATATAGAATCTGAAGACGCCTCCAGCCTTGACTACTTGCTGTCGTGGAAGGAGTGCAGAAGTGACAATGAACTTGACCTCGTTACTGGTAAGTCTTTGAGTTTTGAAAACTCTTTTGTATCATTCTTACTAATTAAGTCGTTTTTACTGGAAAATGACACCATGTATTTTAAGTTGACTGGGAGTTTCTTTTTATCAGTTCTTTATTACATGAAGTTTGGGTGTACTTCTGTGCCAGGTCATTCCTTCAACACTGAAGAGAAGCATACAAATAGTAGTAATGATTTCTCTGCCTGATAAAATGATTTTTCCCCAGTCATTTCAAGTACTCTCTTATACGTACTAATCAGTTATAAGAAATGTGAAATAAGTTTATGCTATTCAAAATGTTCAGTATCATACCTTATATGTTTTATTATTAGTTTATTTTTAAAAAGCTTTAATTTTTTAAAAAAACAGGAGAAAATGTTGTTAGTTGCTCTCTGAACAAGAGCAAACACTGATAAGTGTATTATATGTTTATCTTACTCATAATTTTCTTGTTTTTATAAAATTGAGTTTAAATATTAATTTAGAAAAGATTTGCTATAATTTCTTAATAACTATTTTTTTACACCTACACATTCTTTCTTGTGAAGAATTAGAGCAAAAATAGTCAAGCAACTAGAGGGAATAGAAGGATCAGCTCTCTCTGTGTGTCAATGTGGTTAGCTAATTCTGTTACTGTCCTTCTTTTCCAAAATAACACACCTGTCATTTTTCACTGACTTGACACTGTGTGTCAGTTTGGTTAGGTTCTCATGGCTAGCTAAGAACACTTAAATGGAGTATTTTTTAAAAATAAAATAAGACAGAAACAAAAACAAAGAACTGCCTCTGATGAACCTTTAGGTTACACAATTATCTGTTTGCAAATCCAACTTTTTAGTGTGAAAATTTTGAAATATTTAAGCATAGTTTCATTAGAATCATGAGGCAAAATCTTTGTGATTTGAACTCTTTTACTCCTCCTTTGGCCATTTAAATGAGCCAACAAGCCATTATGGTATTGATTTTCTCCACAGAATAAATGAGTAAGTAACAGTAAATTAGGCTCAAAAATTTTTATTTACTTTAGAACGTGTTCTCTTTTTGCTGTTCCCAAAATGATTGCTATTCATTTCTCCCTAAGCACTTTTCATCTGTCTTATCCAGCATCCCACCATGGCCATTTCTATAACGTCTTAGTTGCTCAATTAAGAGTATGAGTCTCTCAAAAACACGTCTTGATTCTTGAAAGTTTTAGCAAAAGACACAATGCTTGACTAACAAAGCCCCGAGTAAATATTTATTGAGTTAAATATAATTCAAGATGAGTATGAATCCCCTGGTTATAAACTCATCTGTGCTAACCATTATTTAAAACAAACTTCACAGTTTGCCTAGAAAAGTTGTGATCTCACACCGTATTTGGATTGCCATCCAATTATCACATGAATGAAGAACAGCACTCACCAAACATGATGTTGACAAAATGAAAAAATACAAAAATATTATTGGAAAACCTGAGTCACTTTTAAGTTTTCAACTTTTGCCTTTCTTCTATGAAGAGGCATCTTTAATCTTGCTAGCGCGGGGTCCCATGTATGCAGAAAAAAGCAGATCAAAAGTCTGAAAGATACATTATAAAAGCTATCCAGTTATCATCACCTCTGAGACTTCCGTCCTGCAAACAAATCATTAGTTTGGAGAGTGAGCAATATTCTTTTAAGCAGAGGAACATGACCCCCTAAGGGAATAGTGCAGCGGGAGCACTCAGGTCCCCAGATGAAACACAACAGTGACTCCGAGCAGCCGGCTCTCTCTCGTCTCTATGCCTCTCAGAGGAAGCCTGACACAGGCACCTCCTCACTCTGCTAGCATTTACCCATGCTTGGAGTGACTCGCCCTCCTCCTTCCCTTTCAGTATCAAAACAAGAAGAGATTCCTCTCTCAAATTGAGGGTAGAATTAAAATTTCTTGCACTTTAATAAAAATTATTCAAGTCTGAAGCAACTGACAGTGGTTGGCTTTTATAGCTGAAGAGCCAATGAATTTCTGTTGATTTCTCCAGAGTACAGCTTGCCTTTCTTACTGAAACTATAATTTCTCTGAAAAGCAGGAAGAAATTTAAGTGGGAAATTTAAGTAGTTCATCTTGTCATTTGGAGCTCACAGAACCAGATGTGATATAGCAATACAAAAACAAATACTTTCCTCATACAGTTTAATAGCAATGAAACCTAGACATGTAATTAAAGCCATTTAGGAGCCAACATTGCTAGCCATGTCACTGATAATAATCATATCAGTAATATGACTTTAAAGTACTTTGTTATTGTAGTCAAATGTGAATTTTACTGGAGAAATAATATACAAACCCTGAGAATAGGACTAAATGAAAATGCTGACTTGTCTGTTTCCAGTGAAATGCATGTAAAGGTCTACCTGAGTGGCAAAAATATCATGGCATTTTTTATGAATAATTTAATATTCTCAGAAGAAAATAGTAGAAACCAGGACTGCCTCACAGCTCTTGGTTTATGGTTCTTCCTGTTACACTCAGAGTTTAATGTCACGCTGTTTCCCTGCCCTGTTCCTTGGTTGTGTTTTTCATTGGTAAACTCATGTTTGTAGTTAAAGAATGTGGGAAAACCCAGTCATGAGTCAATCCCCATGTTCTGCGATGGCCAGCCACTTCCATTTGTTGAGTAGTCTCCATGAGAAGGAGGGATTGGTATTAAATGGAAAGACAAGAGCAGGCTTCATTTGTCCTGTTATCACACAGCAAATCTCCACCCTTGCTACAGTGCTCCAAATCATGACACAGAAAAAGATTCCAATGGGCACTATCACTGAATCAAAGCTCACCTTCCATGACACAGGAGCTTACTGATCTGATTGAGCTTTCTGATGTTCAGCAAAAGGTTTCAAGTTAAGTTTTTTTAGCTTGTTATCTCATGTTCAATACAGATTCTTGATTGATAGATTCCTCTGGAACTGCTCTTGCTTCTTCTGTAAGAGCATTTTCCTAAGTATTTTATAGTCTTTAAAAGTACAACATCAATATGTGGGAGCATTTTGTCAATGTCCCCACTACAAATGTAGGTTCCTGTGGGCTTCCACAAAAGGAGATGCTATTATTGTCGTTATCACTACACATTAAATAACTGTACAAATGTCAAGCCTAAAGAAAACCTTGTGCTAAAATCTAAAGACATTTCAAGCTAGCTCTCTGACAACATACAGCTTTTCTTTCTCTCAGTAGCACTGTTGAGATTACCAAACCAAGCAAACTCCTGCATCTGCAGATTTTCAGTTCATCATCCTGTTTCCAGTGTCTTACCCTGATATCCCCAGTATTTCCTCACCCGTCCCCTGCCCTTCTCTCCACTGTTTCTAGGACTCCCCAATCCCTGGCTATGCAAGCCTCTCTATTCATTGTTATTTTTTCCTCTTACACATCACTGTGCTGTAGCTCTGCCTCTAAATTCTTTACTTTTCCTACACTTTCTTTCCATCTTACGAAAATAAGTTAAAATCCTCTTGATTTTTTTTTGAGTTTTGCAAAATTATGAAATGATTCGGTTGACAGTACCAAAGAAACCCATTGGCTCATATCTTTATCTCCTAATGTCCTCAGGCCCAGGGAAAGCCTGACATACAGTAATACCTGAAGGACAAATGGATCCATAACCCCAGTCTCTAAATTTCTAGCCCAAGATTCTTTATATTTGTTGAACTTTCTTACATATCATTATACTTCATAGTTAGTACAAGCTACATCTTGCATTTTTTCATTTTTATTTCTATCTTTATTTTGTGCTCTTACAGACTTCTGGCTCTGTTAGAGCTTCCTATTAAAAGCAAACAAATAGTGGTTATGCAGCTAGTCAAAGAGAATCAATTCACTTAAAATATTACAGAGTAAAATCTTCTAGATTCATGGTCGTGCCTAGGATTCTTGAAGATTATGTTTTCGACTAAAACCTGGGTAAAAATAATCACAGAGAAGAGAAACAGGTATGACTACTCTTCCGGTCCTAATGGAGTAATGAGCTCAAAGTTTACCCTTCTGCTTTGAGCAGTTATACAAGCAAAGTATCTGAGACCACTTTTTGTAGACATTGGATAAGAGGCAGCACAGCACAGTGGACTTGAGAAAGGGGAAATAAGTGGGTTGAGCTACAAAAGTGTTCCAGGGCTCTACCTAGAAAGGGTTCCTAAGTTCCCACTCAGGAGAGAAGCAAGGCAACCTGAGGTAAGAAGAGATGAAAAACCAACCTGGAAGTTCAGGGAGGCTGAGGTGTCAATGTTCACAACAAAGAATCTGAAAGAAAAGAGTTACAGAGAGGACGTGTGAGAGACTTCTGCAGTCTTTGGCTAAGTACTAGTACGTATGGGCTCATGAAGAAACTACCAAAGAGAGAAAACACCAACTGAAAGGGGTCGTGTAGAACAATCACTAATGTTTAATAGCTGGGAATTCTTTTGTGTTCCCATCATCCAGGAGAACCTCTTAGAGAATGGGGCATTAGCAAGCGTCAGAAGGGTGTTGCTTCAGTAGTGGGGAATAATTAGCTCCACATGAAAGGTTACTGTGGTGCAAACTAAGTAAACTGGAAAAGGAGTATCAAAGGAATCAAACTTCTTTTTTTTCTTTGCATTTAGAAAGTCCTCTTTTATTAGTAAAACAAGGCAATGTAACAATCATGCAACCCGAGGTTCAAAAGACTATAAATGATTAACAAAGAACATAACCTCACACTTGGTTGTGACTTTTTCCTGTTAGCACTCAGCTAACATTGTTCTGACCAGGGGATATTGTGAGCATAGGCCTTCCTACACACAAACAAGGGAGGGGACAGCCTTTGATCCCCTTTCCTGTCCCCATCTCTTTTTTTTTTATTTTATTGAGAAACAATTATCAATGAGACAGTTTCAAAGCTGATTAATAGTACATTTTCAATAATTAATACATTGTACATTGTTATCTTCTTAGTGGTTATCCATAGTACAAGAAGCAGACAGGATATACCGTCCAAACACTATTACTACAAATCTTTCTTCT